GCCCACCGAGTCTGTAGTCCTTCCTCCATTCAGAGACATGTCCTATGGCTGCTGTCACAATTTACCACAAACTTAGGGGCTTAAAACAACACAAACTTAATATCTCAGAGTTCTGGTGATCAAAAGTCTACAGATGAGTTTTGCAGGCTAAAATCCTGGTGTCGGCAGCGCTGCGTTCCTTCCAGAGGCTCTGGGGGAGGGTGAGTCTCTTGTCTATTCTGGCTTCTAGAGGTACCTGCATTCCTCTGTTCCTGGCCTTTCCCAGCAACGGCACCTCCTCTGACCCTCCTGCTGCTCTCTTAGAAGGACCTTTGTGATTGATTACTCTGTGCCCACCCCAAACCTGTGAATATGTTACCTTACAAGGCAAAAAGGGCTTTGATCCCTTCCACCTCAGGATCTTATTTGCATCTTATTTGCATCTCCAAAGCCCTTAACTTATTTGCATCTCCAAAGCCCTTAACGTATAACGTAACATATTCACAGGTTCCTAGGATGAGGATGTGGACATCTTTGAGGCTATTATTCGGACTGCCATACCAACTATCTGGATTTTTATGATAATCATTTCTTTGAATAAAGCTATTTTTAAAGATGAATTGACTAGGCCCGTTTATCACTGGTGACTTTCTATTTAGGCCACAGCCTGGTCACTGGTCAGCTTGTAGGGGGCTGCTTTTTGCTCAGCCGTCAGCCCTGGCCCCTTCCATTTTAGTCAGGAAGGCAGAATGTCATGGTGCAAGATAGGCGTTCCTCAAATGAACAAGGAATGCCTTCTGGCCACTTTTTGTTCATGAGCTTTTCTCTAGTACTGTGACCTGGAGAAGTATAATATTATCCCCACCTTACAAATAAGGGGACTGAGGCTTACGGAGCTAAAGTAGCTGGCCTCCAGTTGCTCAGCTAATAATTGAAGCTGCAATTCAAGGCCAAATTTGGTGTGACATCGAAGCCACTCTCTACCCTATCACACTGCTACCCTTGAAGATAAAGCAATTCTCTTCATCTGAGGCCATGGTATTAAGGTGGCCTTAATTAACGTGATACTCCCGTGCAAATACACTTTTGATACAGCAGTCCCAGGAGCAGACAGAAAGTGTTTTGAAATATGAGCCCTGAAAAATCAGGAGCAGCTGTAATGTACATTTCCACGAAGTTTCCACTTTCTGTAGCATTAAAAAAAAAACACACAGAAAAACAAAAACCTGTCCACTGAGTCGCCTTAGCAGATGCACGGCTTTTTTCTTGTGAGCAGAATGGCGTGTTGGTTAATGGCTCTCATAACAAAATATGTCCTCAGGTCATTATTTATAATAGGCTGCAACAACAAGCAGTGACAAAGCTGGCATGTGGCAACAGGCAGTGTAAAATTTTAATGGGAGGCATTTTCTGGATTTTGATTTTAAATGTCTTATTGTTACAAAATGAAAAGGGCTTTCAAGAAACATAGGCATCGTGTCGGAGGTGAGGAGGTAGAACTCCTCAGGTATGTTTGCTTGAGACACCAGAGGAAAGAAGGCTGGCCAAATCGCTTTTCCCTGACGCTTAAATTACATCATCAATAATAACATCAAATTACACACCATCTCAGAACAGCTAACTGCTTAGCACACACATTAACATGAGCGGAAAAATGTAGGTTAGTATTCCTGTGCCAAGATCAACTCAGAAGAACCTGTCTGACACCTACTATGTACTGGGCACAGTGCTAGGGCCTGTGGAAACAGTAGGAATGCATCTGATTTAGCAGCAATGACATCAAACAGCTTGAGATCCAGCATCACTGCTTGGGACAGACCCATGACTCTGCTGGAACTCAGAACTGTCAGTTGTGTTGGGGAGGCAACGGACTGGCGGTCACGGAGGGGCAGGACTTATAGAGAGTGGAGGAGAGTTTGGCAAACAAGGGCAAAAGCAACACAAAGTTTAGGACAAGGAATCTGTGTTCATCAGGGTTCTACAGGGAAACAGAACCTATAGACTGTAGAGAGATTTATACAATGAGATGGCGTATATGGTATCTGCTCACATGATTATGGAGGCTGAGAAGTCCCACCATCTGCCATCTTTGAGCTGAAGGCCCAGGAAAGCTGGTGATTTGGTTCTAGCCCAAGCTCGAAGGCCTCATGGTGAGGGTAGCCGATGGTGTTAAGTCCCAGTCCTAGTCCAAAAGCCGAAGAACCTGGAGCGCTGGTGTCCAGGGCCAGAAGATGATGTCCCAGTTCAAGAAGAAAAACAGCAAGGCCAGGAGCAGTGGCTCACGCCTGTAATCCCAGCACTTTGGGAAGCCGAGGCAGGCGGATCACGAAGTCAAGAGATCGAGACCATCTGGCCAACATGGTGAAACCCTGTCTTGACTAAAATAACAAAAATTAGCTGGGCATGGTGGCATGCACCTGTGGTCCCAGCTACTCAGGAGGCTGAGGAAGGAGAATTGCTTGAACTGGGGAGGCGGAGGTTGCAGTGAGCCCAGGTCATGCCACTGCACTCCAGTCTGGGTGACAGGGCACAACTCCATCTCAAAAACAAAAAAGAAAAGAAAAAAGAAAGAAAGACAGCAAAACTGCCCTTCTCTCTGCTCTTTGTTCTATTCTGGCCCTCAAGGGATGGGATATGCTCACCCATGCTGGTGACTGTGAGTTTCTTACTCTGATTCAAATGCTCATCTCTTCCAGAAACATCTCACAGACACACACAGAAACAATGTTTTGCCAGCCATCTGGGCATCTCCTAGCCCAGTCAAGTTGACACATAGGATTGACCATCACAGAAACTGTAAAAATGATTGCTTATTGCATGGCTTCCAAATGGCAGGTTTTGACCCATCTGTGTATTGTGAAATCAATTTAGTGGATGTTGAAAAGTGCAATGGGACAAGACAGAAAATAGAGTGTGTTGCACACAGTAAGGGCAAGTATTATTTTATGAAAATTCTAATATAGTTTTATATAGGCAGATATCTGTACGCACGGGTCACAATGTGAAATGCATTTCTTAACTGCAGGTGACAGTCCAGAAAAGATCATGAAACTCTGATTGAAAAGAAGGTGTTGTGAACTCATTATAAAATCTTGGGGCCTGTTAATCAAACCCACTGCATGAATCTACTTTTCTTGAGACACAAATCACCCAGTGACACAATCAGGGTTCAGGAGCCGTTTCTCCTGCGTGTGCCTCAGAATAAGTGTGCCTGGAGCGTAATAAGATTAGCAATGGGCTGGCAGTTTTGGAGAGTTACCATGTCGTAAGTGCTTCACGTGTATTCATTCTTCACAAGGTCCCTGCAGGAGATACTATTGTTATGCTTATTTTATAGATGGGGACACTGGGCACAAAAATCAACACCTTTCCGGGGTTGCGCAGCTAGGAAGGGCAGAAAACAGCCTGGAATTCAGCATGACCCCTTCATGTTTAGCTTATTTCATACTGATTCCTGCTAAGACTGTAAGCTTTTTGAAGGCAAAATCTGTCTCATTGCATCTGACATGTTTGTTTACTGTTTGGTATTCGCGTTATCTCCTGCTGCATAACAACTACCCATACCTAATGGCATTAAACAACCGTATTTCATTCCCTGGATCAGGAATCTGGATGGGATATGGAGGGGATGACTAATCTCCTCTCTGCAATGCCTGGGGTCACAGCTAGAAAGGTTCAAGCAGCTGGAGGTAACTTGAAGGCAGACGTTGGAGTCATTACATTTGTTCATACATCTGGTGCCTGGGCTGAGGCCGTTGACCTCAGCACCTCTCTATGACCTCTCCCTGTGGCTTGGACCTGTCCCAGGCTGAGTTATGAGTGGGTGTCTCCCAGGGGGGAATATTGGAAGGTAAGCATTCCAAGTGAGCCAGATGGTGCATGCCTGTTATGATCTAGTCCCAGGAGACCACATATTAGCTCTTCCAGCATTCCCCATCAGCAAGTCCAGCCGGGTTCCACAGGGAGGGGACATGGACCCCACCTCCTGATGTTTTAGAACTACTCCACATGGCATTCCCAAGTTTTTATTTTTTAGTTTCCAACTAGGATATGAAAGTTTCCTTGTCAGGACAACCAGATTTCCTCTGATGTGGGAGAATGAGTGGCTCCAATTCCTTGTGATGCATAGGGCACTTTGTGGTTAATAATCTGCTGTTCATTAGAATGATCTGTCGTCTCTATAATGGTAAATGGGCTGGAACCACAGATAATTTACTGCCTTAATTTAGTCACTAGCATTAGGCTTATTTTAAAGTATTTTCTCTCCATTTGGACTAAATGTCTTTTATCTAAGCTTATCTTCAATGTCAATAAGCTTAGCATTCCTCAACAGCTGGAAGCCCAGATATTATATATCTCCCCTTCTATTAATCTTCTGTAAGTTGATCTTTATAGCCATCTAATCCATTCATCACCTCAAGCTGTCCTTTCCACACTTGTATGGCCTTCCATTTAGCTAAACCAAACTCTATTTCTTTATCAAGACTGAAGTTCTTAGTCATTTTCACAGTTTACAGAGTTCTCTCTTAGAGCTGGTTTGAAGTGTCAGATTGTCCACAAAGAACAAATGGGTCCTCATAACGTTCTTCATTGTGTTTTATCTGGACACATTACTAGAGATTTTTGGTAAAAATTATTTCTCAAAGGAATCAGAAGGTCTGAGTGTCCCCCAAATATTTCATTCTGCAAGAAGACCTACGCTTTGACAGTTCTCCCATGGGCAGAACCAGACACCACATTTCTGTTGTTCATCTCGATCCACAAACGCCTTAGACTCAATTTTGCATTATGGCTAATTGATACAAAGTACATCAAGAGGTTTTTTAAAAAAAAATCAGTATAATCCATATTACTAGGGAGGGAAGGAAAAGAGAGTTACAAATGAGGGAACAAAAGTGGTAGAAAAGTACAAGGAAAAGGGAAAGGTTGATTCTCTTCAGAACAAGGTCACTGAAATTCAGAACCACAATACAGCAAGTAACTGCACTTCCCATTTGGGGGTTGAGAATATACAGGGGAAGATGCAAAATCAGAGAGTCATCATCGGGGCACTCGAACGCCCCTCACAGAAGCAGGTCTCTTTGCTTCTAGGGAAGGGCCGGCAGGTGAGCAGGTTTGGGTCACCTGGGCTAGCTGCTGGGCTGGCTACAGGACATGAAAATCCTGGCCTGGGCCGAACCCCTTGGGAGGACAAAGTATTTTCTGTGTGCATATTACATGAAGTATTGTTTGTACCAGTACCAGGTCAGGCAATGGACAGGACGTTACGGGAAACGCTGAGACTTGATAACAATTCCAGCTCGCAGTACATACACAGTCTAGAGAGGTCGATGCAACCACACAGCAACCAACAGCTCTCATCACAATCAACAGCTCTAATCACGAATGCAGGGCAGGCCCAGGGTCTCACACTGGAGAGAACTTCCTCTGCCTGAGGTAGTCAGGGACAGATTCACAAGAGGAGATAGGTCATAGGGAGGCAGGAGAGGGAATGTCGTGTTCCACTAACTGAGACCAGTTCAACTGGGGTGAGGGGACAGAGAATGAACCCTCCCTTTCAGCATCCTAAGGATCATTTCCTGGATCCATGGCAGTGGGGAAACTCACTAGAAGTGTCTAGGTGTCCCACTGAGGCTGGCAGTACGCATCTGTACCCATTTTCTCTTCTGCACATTCTGCTTCTACTGCAGCAGAAAGCAGGTATGGGCCCTGTTTGTCTGCTTAAAGTAAGGCTGTGACTCCTTTGGAGCAATCAGCCCTCTGGGCTTTAGTCACTGTGGTCTCCCATGTAGGGGGTACCAGCAGTGTGAATGCTCCAAGCACCTTGCCAGTCTTTCTGTGCCAGGCACTATACGCCTATAAACACCTCTGGCAGCCCCAATACACAGGTTTGATCCACTACCCCACTTTTTCCTGATAAGGTAACTGAAGCACAGAGATGCCAAGTAACAGCCAAGGTCACACAGCTAGCAAGAGGTATGGGATTGAAAGCCAGGTGGTCTGAGTCCAGAGCCTGCCTCTTGGCCACTCTGCCTTGCCACCTCAAAGCCACTTACTAACAGCCAGCCTCGCCTCTGCCACTAGAGGAGTTCAGGGAAGCTGACTGTCCAGGTGTCTCTTGCCACAGCCAGAGCCTCCTCATCCTCTTTAGATGCTCTTCTAAGGCATGCCTGAGCATCCCTTTCCATCTCACACCTGCGCAAGACTTAAATATAGAATAAAGCTGCCACGATAACCGCCCTCTTTGCTGTGCTCAGGCCTCAGGAATCCAGGCAAACCAATGGCAAATACAGCTTTCCTGGTGGGGGCCAGACCCAGCAGAGCCTTCAGGAGCCAGCCCATGGGACTCCAAGGGGATGCAGGGGACACCTCAGCCCACCTCTGTAGTTTGTAACCTGCACTAGGGTTCAGACATTTTGTGTGAATTGAATGGAAACCCTTATAATTCAGATCAAAGTTCTTTGCATGCATTTTTCTGAAAGGATAGACTTCAATCAAAATTTTCAAGAGAGCAGGGACAGGGTAGTGAGTGTTGGGCCCATGACGGATCACGTTCTCTAGTTCATGGTCCCTTGGTGACTGCAGGCCAGCAACAGGTTCGCAGGACTTTTGTCCACCAGTAGCTTCGGACAAAATTCAGGCCCAACGAAAGCTGAGCAGCACAGTCAAAGTGCTAAACACAGACCTGGAAAATAGCTGTTATTCAACTATCAGCTGTTCAGTGATAGTCAGAGGGCATCAGGAATTATCCCTAATTTTGTAAAGTGGCATTATAATATTGTAATTATGTTTTTTTAAAAGTCCTTAGCCTCTTGGATGGGGAAGGGAAGGAGTAGATGAAAGAACGGAAAATGTTGACAATCTTTGAAGCTGAGCACTTGTGCATTCATTACACTATTCTACCTTTAATTTTTAAAATTCCATAATAAGAAGTTTTTAAAATAAAAATAAATCAAAGCTACTCTTTATACCAAGATGCAAATGTCTGAGTCAAGCACGTGACTGAGAAGCTTACTTCTCCCAGAAAAAAAAAGCCTAAGGGTCTCCTCACAGGCCCAGGCAGGATGGCACGTGCTTGTCCCTTTCCCGTCCTGGACCCATCCCCACGGGGGCATCCGCCCAGGACAGAACAGGTAGCATCTAGGTCTTCCTTTTAAAGGGCTCAGACCCGGCAATCTCCTCTCAGCCTGCCGCTCGGTAGCCCTGCGTCCTCGGGCATTTCAGCTCCCAGGTCTCAGTTTTGCTGCTCATAAAATGGTTGGACCATCTGGAGGCGAGGTGTGCGGGCTCGTGGAAGGAGGAAGGTGAGGGTGCTTCCCAGGGGTGGCCAGGTGAAGCCGGGAGTCGAGCATTTTCCTAAGATTGCTCGCGGCCGCGGGCGTGGGTGGTGAGCATCACGATTAAGAATGAACACACGCACGCACACACACACCTCCCTCCTCCTTCCCTTCCTCTTCCTCTCACCCAGCCCCCCAGGGGGCGGTACCCTGGTCTCGCGGGGGAGGTTTTGGGGCGGAGGACCGCGGAGGACTGCGCCCAGGAGGGTGGCTGGCCGCAGGAGGAGGGCTTGGGTTCGGGCCGCTGCAGCTGGGTGGCCGGCTCCGCGGCGGCCCCTCCCCCGCTTTCCCTGGCCGCCGCCCCCTCCTCCCTCTGTTCTCCTCCTCCTCTCCCTCCTCCCTGTCCCCCACCCTCCTCCCGGGCCCCGGCAGCTGCGGCTCGGGGAGCAGCCGGCGGCGCCGCGACCGCGCAGCCTTTGTCTCGGGCCGCCGGGCGCGCGGGGCCCAGAGCAGCCGTAAGTGACCGGTGGCCGGGCCGCGGGGGGCTCGGCGGGAAGCGGGCTGGGGGTCGCGGGCGCTCCCTGCAGGGGGGGGCCGGACCCGCCACATCCTCCCGCCGCTCGCTTCCCGGGATGCTCGGGCGGTGTCGGCGCGCGGGGGCGCGAGGGAAGCGAAGCGGGGCCACAGCCGAGGAGGGCGCCGGGCGCAGAGAGGGGCTCGGGGCCCGCCGGGCCGCGGGGCCGGGGTGGGGGGTGCGGGCTCGCGGGGCGCCGCAGCCTGGCTCCCACAGACGTGCGGCTTGGGTGCAAATCCTGTTTCTCTGGGCAGAGGCCACGCGGGGACGGAGGAGGCAGAGAGAACGGGCAGTGATGGAGAAACGGGAGAGGAGCCGGCCAAGCGCCACCGTCACCACCATCACCAACCACCACCACCATCACTGACCGTCGCCCATCCCAGCTCCCCTGCCTCACCTCCCATCTCATATTCCTGTGCAGTGCCAACTTTATCAGATCCTTTTCACTGGGTACTACTTTGGAAAAGCGACAGAGTGCGCCAAATTAGGAATAAGTACATCCGCTATGGGACATTTATCTTCCCGTTTCCATTTCGCTACCTCAATTTTCTCATCAGGAAAGGGGGCACAGCGGCACTTCATTTCTCCTAATTACACTGAGATGGCTGGGTTGCTTCCAGTTTGCCCAGTTCTATACTGGACGGTTATATATGCTTGGTGGTGATGATGATAAAATAATGTCTTCATTAAATCGGACCATTGGGAGTTTTCAAACTTACTCTCCTTTGACTTCTGAGTGTCAAAGTGCCAGTAGCAAATAGAAACGTAAGGAAAGTGAAACGTTCACTAACATAATACCAAGAATAGATGCAAAACAGGTACTTTCGTAGGGACATCACCCAAGACAGCTGCAGGCAATGGTTCTCATCTGCAGTGTGGAAAGCATCCCATCAGTGCCAAGTGGCTTTGGGAGCTCCTCAATCTGGATGTACAGTTTCCCTTGGGGTTTTCACCCTACCTAAAGAATGCTTTCATTGGGTTTTTCAAAATTGGCTTTCACCAGGCCCCAAGGATGGCTGACCAGTCAGAACAAATACAGCGACAGAGCCCCGGGGCTGTTGGGAAGCTCAGCACCAGAATGCAGGGAACCTTCTTAGAAGTAAAACTTCCAAAAAACAAGCTCTTAAACCCTCCGCCTTTTCCCCTGTTGGTTAGAAAACGAATCTTGAACTTCTGTGTTTTATGTTCTAGTCTAATAAAAGACAGCTAGACAAGACTACGTTTCTTGACAAGCTTGGAAAATCTTCCCGAAGTCATGGAGCAGGTATCTTTTTTTTTTTTTTTTTTTTTTTTTTT